CCCCCCCCCAGTTTTTTTGTGTGTGTCAGGGCAAGGAGACAGAAGACAATTTTATATGAGGATATGTCCCTCAAGTTCCCAAAATAGGCTTTGCTCAGCCTCCCCATCAATGAGCAATAGTTCAGCTGACCTGGCTGAACCAATCCAGGAACTTTTCACTCCCTGGGGAGGCTGTGGGCCTTTGCACCCCTGAGCAGAATTAGGGAGGGATTCTGCGTATTGTAAAAAGGACTTTTCACTTGAAGAGACAGACCTGTTGGTTCCACCGCAGCTTCCCTTTGGGCTGGGTTCCAAAGTGGGCTGGATTGGAGAAGTGGGTGGAGGTTGCCCTGCAATCTTTCCTCCTCTGCCTCACTATGTACTTTGTAACTGTTGACTGGCATCAGTACAAACAGCAAGGGAAACAAATACACATCCAAATCTTTTTCTGGTCAGAGATTCCCTGAGTGTCTATTCTCTCTCTTCCAGGCCTACATTATGAAGTTTGGGATGTGGAGAAAAATGGGGAGGGGAGAAGGATCCATGTCACCCTAAGAATGCTGATTGGGATCTGTTAAGGGAAAACTTGACCTTCTGTCTTTGTCAGTAAACTCTTGTTTACACACTCTCACACACACACACACACAAACTAATCTATATATGCAACACAACACAGGTATAGGAGTCCGGACTCCAACACATGTTTTGGGGGGCCACAACTCAATCCATAATAAGGAAATATAAAGAACATCTACAAATCAATAAGAAATCCACTGCCATCAAGTCCGATTCATTCTTACCCTATAGGACAGAGTAGAACTGCTCCATAGGGTTTCCCACACTGTAAATCTTGATGGGAGCAGGCAGCCTCATCTCTCCCTCAGAGTATCTGGTGGGTTCCAACAGCCAACCTTTTGGTTAGCAGTTAAGTGCTTTAGCCACCACACCACCTCTCCTGAGACTTCAGGAGAGGAGTAAATCAATTGATCTTATTTGGACCCTGATTAGAACAACAATAAAACACTATTAAAATTTTTTTAGGCAATCGGAATTTTGAACACTGACTCAATATTTAATGTTCTTCTGGAGTTACTGTTAATTTTTTAGGTGTGACAATGATATCGTGGTTATGTTTATTTTTTAAAGCACTCTTATCTCCTATAGAAGCATACTGGGAAAAATTGAATCATTCCTATAGACCAATATTCACTAATCAATACACCTTTATCAAGAACCCACTGTGTGCTAGGCATTCATTGCTCTAGGTGTTTGGGACACATTAGGAAACAAATACACCCAAAGACAAAATAGTGTCTAGTGGAAGGAATTTGAGTAAGAGCTGACTGGACTGACTGATTAAAACTAAGTTAAAGTTATAGAGTTATGTTTTGTTTTGTTGTTGTTGTTTTTAAAAGGTCCTATTTCTTGGAGATGCATCTTGAGTGGGAGGGAAATCCAGGGTTTGCTTTAAAGTAATTAAGCAAAGGGAAAAATAAGAAAAAGTTTAAAAAGAGAGCAGATGAAGCAAATATGTTACAATCCTGACAATTTTTGAATCTGGATGATATAGAGAGAGAGGAGGGTCATGTTGACTACATATGTTTGAAAATTGAGGAAACTTTATAACGAAGTCTCATTCATAAAATGTCTGGCCTGTATTCTGCTGTTAAGAAAAGGAATTGGTATTCATACATCTGGCCTGTGCAATTATTCATTATATATTCTGTGTTAAATATTTTTCATTTGTAATACATGAATATTAATTTATGAGCTAAAATTCCATGTTACTTCATGTTAACAATTGTTCAAAAAGAGAGATTTATACATTCTTCTTCATTTGCTATTGCTGTTTCCAAGCAAAGACTTGCTAATCGCGCTCTTTCGCTGTCAGAGAGTCCATAGGACTTGCAAGTATCCATACAGGCATACATTAATGTGATTGTTGTTGTTGTCAAGTGCCATCGAGTCGATTCCGACCCATAGTGACCCTATATAGGGTTTCCAAGGAGCAGCTGGTGAGCTTGAACCGCTGGCCTTGCAGTTCAAACAGCTTAGCAGTCTGATGCATTATCCCACAGCGCCACACCAGGACTCCTTAATGTGATTAGAACCTGCTATCTTGAGCTCCTCAGGTCAGAGTGAGTTCTGTCTTACCTGTGCTTCCTTCTCCCTTCTATATCATAGCTAAGCATCTAGCCTTTGTTGTTAGCTGCTGTTCAGTCAGTCAGTTCGGATTTACGGTGACCTTATGTATAACAGAATGAAACGTTGCAAATGGGCTCTTTGAACACATACAAGGTCAGTTGTAAAGTATTGCTACTAGGGTTCCAGTTAATGCATGCATGGGTTTATTCCAAACAAAACAAGTTTAAACATGTCTCTGTGATCAGTGGATGACTCCAAACAAGTTCTCTCAGAAATATACTTGCCTTAGTCTCTTTAGGTGCCTTCCAAAAAGAATGTCCAATCAAAACAGTAAATTCTGAGGGAACCTGCTGGGTCAGTTAAATTCGAAGCAGAGAGGTCAGCTCAGACGCTTATGGTGACTGTTTTTTTTTTTTTTTTAGATTTCAAAGAGGGTAACCTTGATAGATTTTCTCAAAGGACACAGGCCGATCACAGGGACTTACTAGGAGGAAGTTTTAAGAACACTGAAAACTGCAATGGTGACGAAAAGGCCACAAAAGTTGTGTCAAGGAATTTTTTTTTCCCATCACGACAACTCACCTGCTTCTTCTTTAAGGATAGTAAGGACTGTCCTAAGAGAATTTCCTTAGGAAACCTTACCTCAGTCCTGATCTTGCCCCTTCAGCATTCTTTTTGTTCCCGAAACACAAAGAACATTTAAAAGAAACACGATTTGAGTCCCTCAAGGATGTCGACACTGCCATTTTGATATGGTGTCAATTGAAGCGCACAGGATTTTTCAGGGAAACGTTAGAGAGATGGAAACGCTACGGTGAAACGCTACTGTCAGAAGTGTATAGACCTAGCTGGAGAGTATGTCAAGAAAAAATCGCCTCACCTTTTGAAATGCTTGTTTAATAAAGGTTTCTATAACTTTGTAGAATTACCCTCATGCAAGAAGAGGGAGTTTCGAAAATTCATGAAAACATTTCATTATCTTTTAATTCCATTTTTCCACGAATTTTTTGAAGCCCCCTCTTATACTCTTCATCAGCTTAAGAATGGATTGCCTAGACAGGCGCCCGACAGCAGACCCTGCATTAATTCTTAGTATTGACGAAGAGAGTGCCCAATACAAATCTTTGTTGGGGATATTGTAAGCGCTTTATAAATGCACCTGATAGGTAATCTGTAGCAGATTCCTTCGGGTTCACAAGGAACATTCACTAGTTGCTGGGGGACCGGAGGAGTTTGTCTTGTCTGATCAAGTTCCGGGGGAATTTAGGACAGCAAATCAATTCTCAGTAACTTGCAAAGCACGCAAAGAAACGCCCTGGGGGGAAGCGCAGGCATCTAATTCCCGCTCCAAGATAGCACACTCCTTAACTTTTTAGTGTTTCTGGCCGGTCCCTGGGCATCAGGTTTTGAGGAAATTGGGGGTTAGGGGAAAATTGAAGTTCCATTACTGCTCTCAAAGGATGGGGGGAAAGCGACCTCGGTTTATTGTCTCATCTGTGAAATGGGGGCATGGCAGTGTGTGGGCTAGGAGTTGGACTGCAACGTGGGCTATTGAAAAAATGAGGCTGTCTGGTCCGGTAAGGATTTCCAGTCTCGGAAGCCCTAAATAGGGTCGCTAAGAATCAGAATTGACTTAATGGCAATGCGTTTCGTTTTGGTTTTGTAGTGTTGAGAGAACAAGTGCGCGGAGTAGTTGGAAGGAAGGGGCTTTCCTCCTCCTCCCTCCCCCATCTTGGCTTCCAAGGATTAGAAATGTGGTGATTCCAGTTTGTTTACAGCGGGCCAGAGACTCTCCCGAATCAAAAGTTCAGGGGCTCAAACACTAACAGACCGGAAAGGTGAGGGCGCGAATGTTTTGCGCGCCTACGTCTGCCAGCGTCCTGCTCCCCACAACCCTCCCGCTCCTCCTCTCAATCCTCTCGCTCCTCCACCTCCTGTCCCCGCCCCGCTTCTACCCTCTCATTGGAGGAGCCGCAGGCCGGGCCTCCCCGGCATTTAAAGGGCCCTCTCTCCGCGCCGCCCTGGGAGCCGCAGCTGGTCCCGGCCTTTGGGCCTGTGAGGGAGGCTGCCGGGAGGAGGCGGCAGCCGCGGCGGCGGTGGTACGGCCCTGGCCCGCAGGACCACGGACTTCTTCCTGCCAGGTAGGTCGCCAGGAGTATGCGCGTGGCTCCCCCGCTCCCATCCCGGACCCAGCTTCTCGGTGCTGATCGGTAGTGCTTGGGAACCCCCTCCCCATCACCTTTCCGACACCCTCATCGACTGTGTCCTCTTGACACTTCCAGTTCCCTGCAGCCCCCGGACCTAGACAGGGCTTATTTGGCGGCCTTGAGAGGCCGAGTGGGGGTGAGATGAGGCGAACGATGATGCAGGACACCCCCTATCCATACAAGGAGAGATGCACACGGCTCCCAAATCACAGGATCCCCCACCCTGCTCTCCACACGGAGCGATACAAGCTGGTTCTACCTTGGAAACCAGGGCGCTCCCCCACTCGTTTGGTATACAGGCCTATAATGTATACCATCATTCAATCACCATAGAATCCCGGAGATTCACAGCATCAGGACAGGTCCTTCATTCATCATCACAGGTCACCACGGGCTGTGTGTTCTCCCAGAACAACCCCCACCCACTCACATACACCAGTTAGCTCCTCAATCTGATGTAACTGATCTTCACATCTTCCTCCAATCCCCCAGTGGTGGTGGAGTGGGTTCCAACTTTTAGCGACCCTGTATAGGGTTTCCGAGGCTATAAATCTTTACAGGAGCAGAAAGCATCACCTTTCTCCCAAGTAACAGCTGGTAGTTTCGAACTGATGACCTTGAGATTAACAGTCCGACTTGTAACCACTACGCTACCAGAGCTCCTTGCTGGTATCTGAATGAGTTAGGCAGCCCCAGATGAAATCTGAGTGCTCAAGTTCATCCCTTGAACATGGTCATCTGCCCCATAGATTTCTCAGCTCCTTTTCTGCCCCTTTTTTGGCAGGTCTGTTCATCTGTCCATCCATCTCTGGGGGTCCGAAATGGCCACCTTCAGCCGCCAAGAATTTTTCCAGCAACTATTGCAGGGCTGTCTCCTGCCTACTGCCCAGCAGGGCCTTGACCAGATCTGGCTGCTCCTTGCCATCTGCCTCACCTGCCGCCTCCTCTGGAGGCTCAGTAAGTGACTGTCACAACTTGTGCAGCGACATCAGGTCATATCATTCCTGCCACATTCCAACCCACATTTTACCCTGCCATGTCCTGCCATGCCAAACCAAGCCCCACCATGTCCAGCCCCACACATCCCACCAGGCCTCCCTAGCCTCATTCTTCCATACCACATCCCGATATGCTCAGCCACTTCATACCATGCCATGCCAAACCATGCCCTGTGCTGCCAAGCCATGTATTTCAATAGTCCTGGGTTCTGGAATCCTCGAAAAGTAAGGTCCTTGGATCTTGGATTCTGAACTGTCTATATGCCAAGGTTATAAATTATTGAAACGCTGACATCACAGGGTCATGAACTCCTAAACTACCTGAGTTTAGGGATTCTGGAAAATTGAAATTCTTACATTCTAGGCTCTGAAAAGTCAGAGCTCTGGTGTGGTGCTGTGGGTTAATGCACTGGACTGCAAGGTGGGTTTGAACCACAAGGTCGGTGGTTGAAGCTTACCAGCCACTCCTCGGAAACCCTATACAGGGTCGCTATGGGTTGGAACCAACTCGACGGCCCTCAACAACAACAACAGTCTCTCAAAATACTGGCATTCTGGATGTGTAGAATCAAGCATGGATAGATTTATGAATTCTAGGATTCTGGAATGTTTCCACAATCGTGCTAACCAGAAAGAAACCCAGTACATCTTTACAGGAACAGTCAGCCTCATCTTTCTCCCATGGAGTAGCTGATGGATTTGAACCACTGGCCTTGTGGTTTGCAGCCCACAGCACCACTAAAAACTGAAAAACCTTTGGATCTCAGGTTTCCAGAAATCTCAGCATCCTGTACGGAACTTGGAACCTTACCATTTTAAGACCCCAGAAGCTCCAGAGTCCTGTAGGATAATAAGCACTGGACCGCTAACCTCAAGGTTGGTGGTTGAAGCCCACCAGTCGTTCCCTGGATACCCTATTACAGGGCCACTATGAGTCACAACTGACTCAATAGCACTTAACAACAACATGATCACCGGCTTCTGAGGCTGCTGCTGAGATTTCTGGAAATCTGAGATCCAAAGGTTTTCCAATTTTTTTCTCTTAGAAATGGAAGTTTTGTTTCTCACCAGTGTTCTTATTTTGAAATATTTCAAATCTATCAAAAATTGAAAGCATAGTACAATGTTGTTGTTGTTAAGTGCTGTCGAGTCGATTCTAACCCATAGGGTTTCCAAGGAGCAGCTGGTGAGCTTGAACCACCAACCTTGCAGTTCAAACGACTTTGCAGTCTGACACATTAGCGCTACTCATATATACCTCAACAGATTCTCCAACAGTCGATATCTTGCCACATTAGCTCTGTCGTTCAATCCATCTATATAGCTAATCTATCCATATAATCTTCTGAATAACTTGCTGACATCGTGACACTTTGCTCTCATATTCTTCAGTTTGTGAGCCCCAAGAACAAGGACATTCCCCCCTCCACCTCACTCCCCCCACCCCACACACACACACACAGCCACAGCCTCAACCAAGTCAACATTCAGATTTCCTCCAGGGTGCCCTAAATACCCTTTATAGATGTTTGTTTTCTTTAAACCCAGGCTCTGCCACCCTCTCCAGCTCCCCAACATCTGCTTTGGGCTCCCTTCAGTCATTGCAACCTCTAGCCCTTTGCCCAGGTTGTGCCCTCTGCCCAGGTTGTCCTCCCCTTCTTATTAGCCCATCAACCTACACTTTCTTGTTCTCTCTTTTACTCAAAGGGTTGCCATCCTACCTGAAGCATGCAAGCACTGTGGCAGGAGGATTCTTCAGCCTCTACCACTTCTTTCAGCTGCACATGGTTTGGGTCGTACTACTCAGCCTCCTGTGCTACCTCGTGCTGTTCCTCTGCCGACATTCCTCACATCGTGGAGTCTTCCTCTCCGTCACCATCCTCATCTACCTACTTATGGGGTATGGGTGTGCATCCTCAGCCCCATGTCCTTGGGTGAAGGGCAGATGGGCCCCTAGGCTCCTCCTTGGCCAGGGTTGTTCTAGACAGGAAGGGCGTGGAATTCCCTGGAGGCATCTGGGGAAAGAATTCTCCTCTGATGAGGTACAGAACAGGGCAACTGTTAAATGTCCCTGAAGAAGGGAATCTGGGAAAATTATTCTCATGGGAGGTTTTCCAGGGCAGAGAGAGTGTGAGATCTCCTTAAGGAGGAAGTCTGGGAGACTTGTGCTTTCACAAGACTGTATAGAGCAGAGAGGGCCTGGGCTCTCCCTGAATTAGGGAGTTCAGGGGAATTGTTTCTCTGTGAGGTTGTGCAGGACAAGGGAAGGCATAAGCTTTGCACCTCTGTGGTCTCTGAGGTCATGGGGATCATGAGGCCAAGACCAGTACCTTTTTCCCTTAGTGAAATGCACATGGTGGACACCGTGACCTGGCACAAGATGCGAGGTAGGTCCGTCTCACTGGTCAGCCTTTCTGTCCCATCCTACCTCTCTTAACTCCTCCCATCTTGTGTCTTTCTTTCTCCACTTTTTTCCTGGATCTGTCCACCCCACTGTACAAGCAGGCCTCAGATTCCCATTGTGTCTACGTCTTTCTCCACCGTGGCTTTTTTCTCTCACTCTCTCCCAAGTGTGTCTGCCCCATCCCATATACTTGCCTGAGCATATTGAGTAAGGACACCTGCCTATCCTGGGGCCACTTGTCCACCTGCCTGTCTGACTCCATGCCCATCCTTGTACCTCTCATGCTGACATGCTCTCTGACCCTCCATTTGACCATGAGTGCCACACATAGGGGCCCAGATGATCGTGGCCATGAAGGCGGTGTCTCTGGGCTTCGACCTGGACCGGGGTGAGGTGGGTGCAGTGCCCTCACCTGTGGAGTTCATGGGCTACCTCTACTTCGTGGGTACCATCGTCTTTGGGCCCTGGATATCCTTCCACAACTACCTACAGGCTGTCCAAGGCCGCCCACTGGTGAGGTCCTGGGTGGGGACAGGTGGGTAGGGTCTGTGGGAACCGCCATAGGTCAGTGCTCACGGAGCCTTGATCCCCCACAGAGCTGCCGATGGCTGCAGAAGGTGGCCAGGAGCCTGGTGTTGGCCCTGCTGTGCCTTGTACTGTCCACCTGTGTGGGCCCTTACCTCTTCCCATACTTCATCCCCCTCGACGGTGACCGTCTCCTTCGCAAGTGAGCACACAGTCTTTGAGGCCTCTGCCCGGCATTGATGGGGTTGGGTAGGGACCTGGGGTCTCGCCAACTCTGAGTCTATCTCTTAATACTTCTGTCTGTCTTCTATTACTACAGCAAGAAACGCAAAGCCAGGTAAATGAGGGCAGATGCTGAGGGCCAGTGGGGCTAAGTGGGGAGTGGGGAGGCACAGTCTGTGAGTAATTGGTTCTGTAAGTCCGAGCCTGACTGTCCACCCCATAAATAGACAGAGAGTGGGTGTCTGTCTGTGGCTGCCTGTTCGACCAAGATTGGCTCAATGCTTCTGTGGACGACTGGCGCTCTGACACATATGGTGTATCTGGTTGTCCATCTGCTCAGCTGTTTCACTATTAGAAACAAGTTATATAACTATAATGGGGAGGGACCTCTCTGTCATTCTGACTAAGGGTTATATGAGGGTTGTTTGGCTATTGGCAGCTGACTCCCTGAATGTGGGATGGTAAGTTATAACTCTCTGACTGCCACGGTCAATGATGGGGTATGTGGTTGACATTAGTTCCATTTCCTGAGTATAACATCTGTGTTGTGTGCCTCTGGTTGCTTGGTGTTGTCTAGCTGAGAGGTCATAACTGAGTATGTGTCTGTCTGTGGGACTGTTTGCCTCTGCTTTGCCTCTAGATTTTGATTCAGCTATTTGATTGTGTGACATTTCTTCTATCCCCACCACTCACTGGTTGATGGTTATGTCTCTTGCCAAATGAGGCTCAGAAAAGTTCCCCAATGCCACCCAACTAAGCAAGCGGACAGACATTAAAACAGGGCCTGATGCCAAAACCCAAGCTTTTCTAAATGCAGGATGCTGCCTGTTTTTTATAATATCTGATTGTACAACTAACAGGGTGACTAAATTTGGCTGCAGAATTGTGTATGTGTGTAGAGTGATGTGTTTGGTGGTCTCTGTACTCAACATCAGGAATTTTTGTCTGTCTTACAGTCAGTGAGTCACGGAGAGGCTTACAAGGCTATGAGTCTGGTAGTGCTTATCTGTGACTGTGTGGCCATGTGCGAGATCAGGATTCTGATGATGGCTGGATCTGGATGTCTGGCCCTGTAAGACTGCGTATTATAGGATAGCTCATGCATCCGTCTGATAGTGTATGAATGAATGTCACTGTCTGTCCACCTCTTTTACCAGTTTCTGTCTTGTGTATGAACAACTCAGGCCAGCTTCCACTTTTCTGACTCTCTTTCCTTTCTTCTCTGCGGCTCTCCTGACCCCTAGGGGCACCATGGTAAGGTGAGTCCACTGAGTGGGACCAAGAATGCTGACAGATGGTGGGGGTACACCATGCCAAGGCCTGGGCACAGTGCCTCTCCCTCCTGCTTCCTTCTCCCCAGGTGGCTGCGAGCCTACGAGAGTGCTGTCTCCTTCCACTTCAGCAACTATTTTGTGGGCTTTCTGTCCGAGGCCACAGCCACGTTGGCAGGGGCTGGCTTCACCGAGGAGAAAGATCACCTGGAATGGTGGGAAGGGCTGTGTGTGGGGGGGTCCTCCCTCTCCCATAGGCCTGCTGCCTAGAGGAGCTGCAGGGAGGGAAGAAGTGTGGAAGTCAGATGGGCGACGATCCCTAATGGATTTGCGTGTCTCTTCTGCCCACAGGGACCTGACAGTGTCCAAGCCATTGAATGTGGAGCTCCCCCGGTCCATGGTGGAAGTTGTCACAAGCTGGAACCTGCCCATGTCTTATTGGTTAAATAACTGTATGTCACCAAATTACCACTCCAGAGGAGTTGAGAGTTGTCAACCTAGACCCTTTCACACATTCATATAGTAAACATTTATTGAGCACCTACTGTATGTTAGGAACTGAAGATAACAGTGTGTTAAGGGGGAGGGAGAGAGGGCGGGAGACAAAAATCCCTGCCCTTGTATAACTGGTGTTTCAGTGGGAGGTGTGGATAATAAAGCAGAGGGTGAAAAGTTAAAAAGGTAAGAGTGGATGTGGAGGCAGATTGTCAAGGCAGGTCTGCTGAGGTAGGTGTGAGGGCATGAATGTGGCTCTGTGGGGGAGTATTAGCAGATGGAAGGAAGAGCTAGTGCAATGGCCTTGAGGTGAGAGTGTGCATGTCATATATGCAGAGCAGTGCAGGAGACTCTTGTGGCTGGAGTGGAGTGAGGGAGGGAGAGAGTGATGGTAGGAGGTGAAGTTAGAGAGGTGAATGGGGGGAGTGGTGATAGAGAGGGGGCTGACTGCAGAGAACCTAGTGAGCTATTGAGTTTTTTCTCTTGAGTGAATGAATGGAGGCTCAGAGAAAACCATGAGGGGATTCTGAGCAGAGGAGGGCCATGGCCTGATTGAAGATTTAACAGAAATTTCCACCTGCTGAGGACAGACTGAGGGTAGAAGCAAGGGCAGAAGCAGTAGTCCAGGCTGGCATTGATGGGGGTGGCTGGGTACGGTGAGGAGTCAGATTCTGGGTAAATTGCCAAGGCAGAGGGGGCTTTAAAAAGTTCGTGGAAAATGGAATTAGAAGATAATCGAATATTTCCATGAAAGGTTAAAGCACACTTATAGAAATGGAAGGAGGATGGATCAAGGGTGACTAGAGGTTTTTGCCTTGAGGAACTTGAAGTATGGCAGTTGACTTTGACTTAAGCTGGGGGAGAATGTGAGAGGAGCAGGCTGGGAGGGCAGATCAAGAGCTATGCTTTGGATCTGTGAGGTTTGAGACAATTGTAAGGAACCCTCATCCTGCCCTATGGCTCTTCCAAGAAGACCAGGGGGATTGCAGGAGAATCTTGACCCACCTCTCCCCACTCCAGATGTTTTCAAGAATGCTCTCCGCCTGGGGACCTTCTCAGCAGTGCTGGTTACCTACGCAGCCAGCGCCCTCCTGCATGTGAGCAGGGTGGAATGGGATCGGGGTGGAAGCTGGGTAGGGGAGGGTAAGGCCTCCTCCTTATTTACCTCATCCACGCCCCTTGGCCCCAGGGCTTCAGCTTCCACCTGGCTGCTGTGCTGCTCTCCCTGGCGTTTATCACTTATGTGGAGCATGGTGAGTGCAGGGCCCAACCTGACAGACAGAGTATAAGGTTGGCACAGGGCTAGAACCACCATTCTCCTGAAGCTAACCTGACCTCCTTACCTCCACCCACCCACTCCAGTCCTCCGGAAGCGCCTGGCTCGGATCCTCAGTGCCTGCGTCTTGTCGAAACGATGCCCACCAGACTGTTCGCACCAGCATCGTTTGGTGAGGGTTCAGCCTGGTCAGCCATCCTCGTGCCCAAAATGTTTCCTCAAAAAAACATTACTTCAGTCACATCTTGTATCTGTCTCAGTGTGCCCTGCTTCCTTGCACTGGAGTGGTACTGGAGACACAAGCCAAAGTCCCAGCCTTTGTTGTTTTGTTGTTGTTATGAAGTGCCGTCGAGTCGGTTCCGACCCATAGCGACCCTGTATAGGGTTTCCAAGGAGCAGCTGGTGAACTTGAACTGCCAACCTTGCAGTTCAAACGGCTTTGCAGTCCGGCGCATTCACCCACAGCGCCACCAGGACTCCATTAGCCTTTGTAGGTCTAACAATTTAATGAGGTGACAGTAAGTAAAACGAAGTCAGTAAAATCTGATAGTTTGTTACATTGTGATTAGTGCTATGAAGAAGGGACGGGGATAGGAAGTGTCAGGGGCAGGTGGTTTCAGGTTTGAATAGGAAGGTCAGGGGAGGCCGCCCTCATAAGGTAGCTTTGAGTTCTTTGCCAGGCAAAGGGAACAACCAATGTAAAAGTCCTGCGATGGGAGTGGGCCTAGAATATCTGAGGAACAGCCAGGAATTCATTGTGACTTACGTAGAGTGAGTGAGGGCTGGGAAGCGTGGCCAGAGGCACAGCCCGTGGCTGGCTCTTTTGGGGCCCTGTAGGTCAGGGTAGGAATTTGAGTTTTGCGGGTTTTTTTAAATTCTGTTTGCAATAAGTATGGACAACCTCATATTTGTCCTCCCACCAGACAACCAAGTTCATCATCATAAACCCCTGTGACTCAAAGTCCCACCATTCTTCCTCCTCTGCCTGATACTCTCATCTCCAGCAACTGGACATCCTTGCCCCACACTTGACCTGTACACCCTCATTGTTAACAGTACCCTCATCCTTGGATACCCTCGGAGCTCCCACAGGAGGAGCTGAATCATCTCTTTCTTACTTCAGGGGGGTAACCAGGATACCCTTACTCCATGTGCCCACTGTGTCTTGTGTGTCTCCCTGGACTCCCCTGCCCAGGTGGAGGTGGGGAACAGTGAGTAGATCCAGTTGCCAAGGCTATCCATCTGTCCCCCACAGGGCCTAGGGGTGCGAGCCTTAAACTTGCTCTTTGGGGGCCTGGCCACCTTCCACCTGGCCTACCTGGGCTCCCTGTTCGATGTTGATGTGGATGACACTACAGAGGAGCAGGTGAGGTGGGGCCATGGGTCTTGGGTGGGTGGGCGGGGGTGAGGAATCCAGGGATGGCACTATCTGATCATGGAAACTGTAAGGACAAAGATAGAGCACCAAACTGTGAGGTTCCTATGTGATTTCACTTAATGCAGCTAGTCCTCAGTCCTCTCTTGATTTGCACTAGGGTCTTTTACTTAGGTGAAGTGTGCAAAATGTGTTTCACTCATTTTTAATTTACAAAGTTATTTTATAGAGATGGAGTGCAATATCCAGGGTTTACATTTTTTATGATTAATTTTTTATTTTATCTCATTTTTTGTTTAGGTAGAACTTGTAATATCTAGGTTGTCTTTCTTATATAACTTTTAAAATAATATTTTTACTCAGGTTGAATATGTAAACTGGGTTTTACTACTTTAAGTTTGTGTAATAAAATTTATATGCTGTTTTTGTTCGTGTCAAACAAGCAAATTCAAGATTTTACTTTTTTAAATCAAAACCGCTTTAAAATAATTTTTATTCATATGGCTCCTGCAAATCCAGATTTTGCATCTTTTTAGCTATATTTTAATTCTTAATTAAAAATAAACTATTTTATATCTTTATTCGTGAAAAATTACTTTTTAAAAAATTCCGGCTGAGTGTGCAAAATCTGGGTAAAGCTTTTTAAAATTTTTTTATTAAAATCTTTCAAATGGTTCAAAGATCAAACAGTATTCAAGATATCCAGGGGAAATTGTTGCTCCCGCACCATGCCCAGTTCTGCCCCTTATCCCCCTCACAGTTAATTACTCTTATGTATTCTCATTCATTTTTTTTCATTCTGAGGATGTGACATATCTTATTTCATTTGTTCCTTATTGGTAGACACACAGGTAATTTCCAGTTTTTCCTATTGCAAATGATGTTGTAGCAAGTAACCTCATACCAACATGAATTCACACAGGTGAACATGAGAGAGATTTAGCATTTTAAATATGTTTAAGAGCCATTTGTTTGTCCTTTACTGGGAATTGCCTCCTCGTCTCCTTTATTGATTTGTACCTTGAAAATTAATTTCTAGGAACTCTTTATATATTAGGGAGACTACTAATCTGAGAGCAGAATTGTTTTGTCTTGTTTTTAACCTGATTTTTTTTTTAAGGAAAATATATAAATCTGGTTTACCTTTTATGTGGAAGTCCCTTCTATGGGATCTCACCTGGGGTGATTATGTAGTCTAGATGTGCCCAAAGGATGGGTTCTTTTGAGATTCTCTTTGTCCTTGCTGAGTGGGACCATCACCTCTCTCTCCCACAGGGCTACGGCATGGCATACACTGTCCACAAGTGGTCAGAGCTCAGCTGGGCCAGTCATTGGGTCACTTTTGGATGCTGGATCTTCTACCGTCTCATAGGCTGAGGCACATCTGTGGACCCTCAAGACGCCTCCTTAGGGTGCCAGCTTTGATGGGAGATGATCTACCCCATTTCCCTCTCCATCCTTGACTCCCAATACCGCTCTAACACACACACACACTCCATTTCCATGCTTCTAGATTCTCACCCCACCACACAGCAAGGGGAGGGTAGACCCTGATGGGGCTTATGGGTGGGGGATGCTTCGGGAAGCAGAGAGGGGGAAATCCAAGGCCTTCAGGCCTTCCTTCTCCCTTTTTTATATAGTTTGTAATTGTTGAATAAAAGTAGGAAAGATACAATAAGCTCTTTTTTCACTGCTCAGAGTTGAATAGGTGTAAGGAAGGGAATACACTATGGATTAAAATTTGGAAGCTGAAAATCATGAAGGAACAGGTTGTGACTGGTGCGTGGTCAATTTATGACTTCCAATTGTCTCATGATTGGATGATGCGCCCCAGGATAGCAGAGTCCTGGTCCTGACTGATTTGAGCGAATGAGGACAAATTGGAAAGTTAGATGAGGGAGAGGGCTGATATTAATTGTCTGGAAAACGGAGGGCTCCACATCTAGTCGGTTGCTTTCACAGGGGCAAAGAGGAGTGAAAGCAAAACAGATTGATGCTTATTGGTCTTAGGAATGAGTTTCTAATTGGATGTGACCTCTGGAAGGATCCCATGCCAATTAGATGCCAGGACTGAAGGAGCTAGCTTCGGATGGGGTCGTCAGAGTTGAAGTTGGGAGAGGTGAGGATGACTGCTGCTATTAAGACTGGGAGTTCTGAAGTGTTAGGGAGTGAAAGGCAGCTGGGAGGGCGGCTTGTGTGGGAAGTGATCTGAAGATCTGCATGTAGTATTACATTTTCTTGCCTATCCGGGCATCAGGACTGATAATAGTTGTTCTTCCTGAAAAATGAGGGCAGAGGTGAGAGGACACAATGCAGCGATGATTCACCAGCCCTTAAGGAGGAAAGAGGCACTTTTTAAATGATTCCCAGCTGTGACTGATTGCGCTTACTGAGTAAGGGAGGATGGGCGGAGTCCTGGTGTGGCGCTGTAGGACAAGCCCTGGACTGGAGCCCTGGTGTGGTGCTGTGCGTTAATGCACTGGACTACAAAAGTCGTTTCTACAGCAACGTTGGCGGTTCAAGCTCACCATCCGTTCCTCGGAAACCGACTCGACGGCACTTAACAGCCATAGGGTGGGCGATTCAAACACCCCACATTCGCTCCTTGGAAACCCTATACAGAGTCACTATAAATCAGGACCACCTCAATGGCACAACAGGGATTAGAGGGACCGCAGGGAAACTAAAGCTGAAATTCTATAGTGCTTATAGTGGGCCAAATGACTCCGCCCCCCGCCTGGACCAGTCCTTGCCTCCAGTTCGCTCCTGACTTGGTCTCAACCAACAGTGAAAATGGCACCACGCGCGAAGGAGGAGCCCGCGGCATATAGAGAACTTCTATTGGTTGGGAGAGGCCCTTCCAGCCTTTCCATTGGCCTGCTCCGTAAGGCGGTATTGCCTGAGAAGGGATGGACCCGAACTAGGGTAGGGTAGTTCTGGAGCCTGAAAGCTAACGTTACGTAGATCCAGGAGCCCGAGGGAGAGGTCTCTGCAACCGTGCCGCTAGGTGAGTGCCCCTTGCCTGGCCCTCCATTCTGTCCCCTAATTCTCAACAGTTTGCCGGCCAGCCCAAAGCACGTCTGAGTGAAACCATTGCTCTATCACCACCCAACCCCCACGCGCCTGCGCGAGACCCCCAGCTACCGCACGGTTGTTGGAACGATGGCGGATTCGCTGTCTCATTGGACAGCTGGACTTCAGGGTCTGGTTCATTGGTGGTCTCTACATTTGACCCTCTCTTTCCATTTTAGCGCCGAGCAAGATCCCTTTCATCTTCCTTCCTCTTCCGTCTTGGAGGTTGACAGTATTGTGCATTGTTGCAGGGAGGATCTGGTTTCCAAACCCAGCCGTGATTCTGATTGTGTCTCTCTTCTGGCCCCAACTGCATTTTTCCGGGGCTATGGGTGGGGGATAGCAAGACAGTGACCCCTGCAATGGGACCAGGCCTGGTTTCTGTGTCTTTCCCACCAGACTGTGACTCCTGAGAGCTGGGACCAGTCCTACCTAGTTCCTGAATCTCCCCAACCAGACTGAACCTGAGGGCAGGGCCAGGTGTAGTCCCTCTCTCCACCAGCACTGTGAGCCATGGAAATGGGCACAGGGCTGGGTACCTATGCCTTTCCCATTCGCATATATTGTGACTAATGAACTATTTGGAATTGATTTTACTATTTCATTCTGGGCTTTCAGGTGCTTCTGTTCCTTTTTTATTTTTTCAACTTAACAGCCATCAGACCACAAAAGATATGACCACCATCAGCCCCTTGCACCCTTACTGGCCTCGGCACCTACGGCTGGACAACTTTGTGCCTAATGACCGTCCCACCTGGCATCTCCTGGCTGGCCTGTTCTCTGCATCCGGGGTCTTAGTCATGACCACATGGCTGTTATCAGGTCGAGCTGCTGTTGTCCCACTGGGGACTTGGAGACGACTGACCTTGTGCTGGTTTGCAGTGTGCGGGTTCATTCACTTGGTGATTGAGGGGTGGTTTGCCCTCTACCATAAGGACCTCCTTGCAGACCAAGCCTTCTTATCCCAACTATGTGAGTCCTAAGTTCTTTTCATGGGCTGTGGGAGGGATATTTCTGGACAGGGATTGGCTTGGATGTTTACTCATCCACCTTCTTCCATTCATTTATTTTATTGGGCAAAATATGTATACCAGACAGTCACAGTAACACTCACTGTCTTGTGTTAGGCTTATTCTCATTGTCTTATTGTACATATACAGATAATCCCTGACTTACAACAGCTTCCATTCCATAAATTGGTACTGATATGAATCAAATACCTCCTTTAAAAATTTTTATTTTATTATTGCCTTTTATTAGCAGTATCTTTATAAATCATAACATTGAACACCTGAGAGTGACAGCAAATTATACACTGCAACACTGGAGTCCTGGTGTGGTGCTGTTGGATAAAGCACTACACTGCAAGGTCAGTTTGAACTGTAAGATCGGCAGTTCAAATTCACCAGCTACTCCTTACAGGGTCTCTGGGTTGGCACCAACTCGACCGCACTTAACAACAACAATACATTGCTTATGATAAGATGTAAACAACAACAACAACAAATGATTGTAAGTACAGGTTTGTTGTGATGTGAATATGTTGTAAGCCAGAGACTACCTGTATTAACTTGTAGAATCCAAACACTTACTCCATTTTACAGATGAAGAAATTGGAGCCTGCCTTCTCATAGGGGTCCCCAGCTCTCACAAATGTGAGCCCCTTTCCCTGCCTTTATTCTTCATGTGTCACTCTTGTTTTCTTCAGGGAAAGAGTATGCCAAAGGGGACAGCCGATACCTTCTGTAAGTGATTGCTGATATCAAGGGAAATTGGTATTGGTTTGGGGTAATGGGGAGTCAGGGAGCACTAATGGGGTACCCTGTGGGCAGAGTGCACTAATGCCAGGCATCTCCCATCCTTTCTCTTTCAGGGGTGACAACTTCATAATATGCATGGAAACCATCACGGCTTGGATGTGGGGACCACTCAGCCTATGGGTGGTGATTGCATTTCTCCGCCAGCAATCTTTCCGCTTTATCCTACAGCTTGTGATCTCTGTGGGTGAGCAAAAGAGGTTGATGGGGGACCCACAGACATGGAGGCATCCCTAGGGGTGGGATCTCTCAATTGTGTCCATGCAGGAGAGAGTCAAACTGAATCACAAACCCCCTGAGGTTCTAGACCAACCATGCTCTTCTCTGACCTTGCTCTGTAAGAATGGTTCATTCCTCCTCCTCCTGCATCACAGTGTTCCCTGCAAAGGTTCTATGAGGTGGTCCATGGTATTGGGAAGCCGCTGGCTCCTCCAGGATTCGGATTCTGAGGTCCTTACATTTGAGATACTGTCCTCTTACATTCTTAAATTAACTTTGTATAGTTCTGTATTCCTGAACTCTCTTGAATTCTGAAATTTTGAGCTTCCTTAAATTTTGAAGATATGAGCTCTCTTGCATTTAGAAAATTTCATCTCTCTGATTTCTGAAATTTTTACCTCTTTGATGTCAGAATTCTTAGCTCTCTGAATTCAGGAATCCTGAGCTCTGAGACCTTGAATGACAACTTGGGAAAATATCTCAGAATAGATAGCTTGGAATTACTTTCTCTTCCTCACAGATATTCTCCTTTCCCTCTTACCTTCTTTCCACAGGCCAGATATACGGGGATGTACTCTATTTCCTGTCAGAGCTCCGCGATGGGTTCCAGCATGGAGAGCTGGGTCACCCACTCTACTTCTGGTTTTACTTTGTCTTCATGAATGCCCTGTGGCTGGTGGTGCCTGGACTCATAATACTTGATTCTATAAAGCATCTCACTAATGCCCAGAGCACACTGGATGCCAAGACCTCAAAAATCAAGAGCAAGTAGAAGTAGTGAGTGGTGGTGGGCTGGGCTTTGAACACTGGCAGATGAAGAACTAATCACCTGCTAGAAGAGTCAAACCTGCTCCCACAGGTTAGAGGAACAAATCTGCCCAACTCAGGATGATGGGTGAGCACAAAAAGAGCCAGAGAGAGGAAAAGTGGCTGTGGGGAGCTACTGCCAAAAACTGTTGGGACCAAGGGGTACAAGGAGACCTAGGAGGTCTATAATGGTGGCAGTTTTTAAAATCAGGAAATAAAAGATCTTGACTCTAACACTGAGAAATCTTTCGTTACTAACCCCAGAGATGCCCCATGATTGAGCCTCACCTTACAACCCTTCCATCATTTATTCCACAGTCTACCATTGTCATCCCCCAGACCTCTCATCTGTGACCCCACAAAACCCTTTCGCCAAACAAACCCCATCACTGATTCCATAGACGTAACATCGCTCCACAGAGCCCCCATTACTCACCCACAAACCCCCATCACTCACTCCTCAGGCTCTCCATCATGAAGCCCACAGATACTTGCCACTGATGCTACAGACCCATGATGACTCAGTCCACTCACTCTTAAATAACTCACAGACCTTCCATCACTCACCTTGTTGTTGTTGTTGTCAGGTGCCATCGAGTCGGAACCGACTCATAGCGACCCCATGCACAGCAGAACGAAACAATGTTCGAACCTGGGCCAACCTCACTACCGCTGCCACACTTGAGTCCATCCATGATGCCACCTGGCTGATCCATCTCGTTGGGGGTCTTCCTCTTTTTCTCTGACCTTAAAGATCCCAAATTACCCTGACAGATACTCCATCACCACCCCAAAGACCTACAGCATTTACCCCATGTGTCCCCATCACTCATGCTACAAACTCCCCATCAATCCCCCCCAGAGAACCCACCCTAACCCTGAGATGCCTCATAACTTAACCTGCAAACCCTAACACTTCACAATCTCCATTACTCATCCCATAGACCTCCATCACTCATCCTGACAGACCCCATCATTAACCCTACTTATTCCTATTACCTCTCAAAAGGTAATAGGAATTTACCGCACAGACCCTTCTCATCACTTACCTGACAGAACCCACATCATTTACCTAACAGGTGCCATAACTTACTGCATTGTTGTTAAGTGCCGTCAAGTTGGTTCCGACCCATAGCGATCCTTTACAGGGCTTCCGAGGGTGTAAATCTTTACGGGAGTAGAAAGCCTCATCTTTCTCCCGCAGAGCGGCTGGTAGTTTCAAACCGCTGACCTTAAGGTTCGCAGCCCGATTCGTAACCACTACGTTACCAGAGCTCCTTGCACAGACTCGATCAATCACCCTTACTTCCTCCCCAAACCCTATCAATTACCTGGCAGGCCCCATCACTTACCCCATAGACTCCTCACCATCACTCACCCTACAGATCTTATTATTAATCCCACCGCTTTTCATTGTTCATTCAGTTCCACAACATTCAGACCGCTGACACCACACAGACACCCCCCACATATCTCACAGAGCCCCCATCATGTACCCTACAACCCCATTACAGCACAGATTCATTCATCTTACACACCCTATTATTCAACCCACAAACCCATAAGTCACGCCCCAGTTGCTCCCTTGGTCAGTGACCAGGCCTCAGCTAACTCTACCAACACCATATCACTCTTCCTACAGACTGTTATTGACCCTAAAGAACCTCATCACTGATTCAGTAACCTTCCAGCATCCACCCTACAACCCAATCATTCACCTCTTAGACCTCCATCACTTACCACATCACTCGCCCACAAACCCCAACACTCACTGCAGACCCCTCATCACTCACTCCACACAGTTCCCATTTCATCTCATCATACCACAGATCTTATTCCACAAACTCCTAATCACTCCAGAGACCACATTCTCCCACATCACTGACCCCCCAATCTCTTACCTCACAGTCCATAGACCCCATCAGTCAACCCACAGACCCTTAGCACATCCTACAACCCCACAGAAATCCCATCATTCACTCTGTATTACCCCACAGATCAGCATAACACAAACCCCCTAACAACTCACAAACCCAAATCATTCACCCCACAGACCCCAACTACTCACCCTACATACACTATATCACACATCTTACAGACCCTTATCATTCACCTCACAGATGCCCCATGACTCAAACCACACAAGCCCTATCACTCACTCCACACACGTCTTAATACTTACCTCACAGACCACTCACCCTGCAGAGTCCCCTTGACTTATTTCATTGACACATCATTCTCCACATAAACTCCATCACACAGCACACATCCCATTGCTCGTTCCACAGATGCCAATCAGCATACTCGTCCCAGACAACTTATGCCACAGACAACCCATCACTGACCTCACGGATCCTCTTCTCACTCAACCCCCAGGCCTCCATTCACCATAGAGTGCCCCTATCACTCATCCTGCAGATCCCCCTAATACTCTACAGAATAATTAACCCCATAGATCACTCACCTCACAGATACCCCCATCACATACCTGCAGATCCTTGTCATTCATCCCATAGATCTAATATCACACTTCCTATTGCTAAGTCAGTTCTGACTCAGAGTGTCTCTGTATAGGGTTTCCCAGGCTGTAAATCTTTGCAGAAATAGATAGCCTCATATTTCTCCCAGAGTGGCTGGGCTCAAACAGCCAACCTTGTGGTTCCCAGTCCAGTGTTTATCCTCTAGAATCACCATGCTAGATAGGTCTGTAGTGTCTTCCTATTGTTGTTAAGTGCTGTCCAGTTGGTTCCGACTCATAGCGACCCTGTATGGGGTCTCTGAGGCTTTTTCATTCTTTGCAGGAGCAGAAAGCCTCATCTTTCTCCTGTGGAGCAGCTGGCGGCTTCAAACTGTGGACTTTGTAGTTTGCAGTTCAGTGCTTATCATATGATGTCACTGTGCTCCAGGATCTTTCTATAGACCCCCTATAATTCACCTCACAGATATCCCATCACTCACCCCACATCATTTATCCCCCCCATAAGCCCCATCACTCACCTCATGGACCCTCAGCCATAAATCAATTGGGTACTTGAGGAATTTTGAGGAACTGACAAAAAATGAATCATAGAATTGAAGATACCAGTAGGTGGGCCCCAGTTGACCTATGTAGAGCATAGTTTCAGCTCAAATCCTGGCTCTCTATGGGCTTATAGTGTAGATTTTGAGAAGGGCTCACTGTGAGGCTAAGGCTCTGCATGATCTCACCCCAATTATTTCCTCACAGTGTCCCACCAATCACCCCATCATTTACTCTGCTTAAGGCCTGCTGGCCTCCCTGTTCTTTAGCTATGCTAAGCACAACTCCACCTTCCATCCATTGCATGGACTATTCTCTGTGCCACTTCTACCCCTATGACCTTAAACATGTTTCTGAAACTCCCAGTCTTCAATACTTTCATTTGTAAAATGCTAATAAAAACAGTATCTACCTCATAGAACTTGAATGCAGATTAAGTGCATTAATAAATGCAGACTGAAGGAGAACAAACAAGATGGCGGATCCGGTAGATGTGTAGCAGAGAGCTCCGCCAGCAACAACACAGAATACCCGAATACCCGACCAAACAGGCTCAGGGGATGATCCCAGAACTCTGAACCACATATAAAGGAATATTTATAAGGTTGGAAGGCTCACAGCTGGGGGAATTTGTGGCAGAAGAAAGAAATCCACTGCTTTCTAGTCCGGGACGATCGGCTGCTCCAGGAGCTGCCATCTTGGGTGAGAACACGTCGTGGAAGGATTGGAGCGGCCAAAGACGCCTGGCAGAACCGCTGAGATAAAGGTGTGGACATTCTTTTCCTTTGGTATCTGTTCATTGGTCCCTTGCTGTCTGTGCACCTCCATTCGGGTGACTATAGGGGAGCCTGAGCTAGTGGGCACCCCAGCCCCACCCTCGGAGGGTTCTACTACACATGCGCACAGATCTCCTCAAAATTTAAAGAGACAGTTTCCAATTAAAACCAAATGGCCACAGCCGGCCCTGAACTGTTTACAACTAGA